ATAAAGTGGCATAGTTGCTAAGGGTATTTTCTAATTTTGTTCTAGAGTTGTGAAATAAGGAGCTGATCCTTACTGCACAAGGTTCGACACTTACATTAGTCCGTTAGTTTCAGGCTAATACATTTTTATTCTGACTAGTAAAATCTGTGGCTATAATTAGTCCAAATAGACATAACCCTTAATACTTCCAGTTCATGGGTTCGAATCCACTGAGTGACAAAGATACAGATCCTATGGATAAAACTAGTAGATAAAACCATATAAAACCAGGTCTCATGTTTCAGTAGGAGTGAACATTTAAAGAAAACAAACAGCTAAAAATAAATTTGGATAACTAATTAGTTAACTTAATTCAATGTAGGTCCCCAGGAGCTGCTTGGTAAGTCAGTGTCTGCTCTAGAGTGACCAAGTAAGGAGTTGATCCTTACGTCACAGGTTCGAATGCCACTGTGGGACGTGGAGACAGGTCCTTTGGATGAGACTGTATAAACCAAGGTCCTGTGTTGCAGTAGGTGCTGGCACGAAAAAGATCCCTCACTGCTCAATGGCCCTGAGTGCCGAGCATAGGTCAAAACCTGCAGCTCTCCACCGGCAAGCGGTGGTGTCTCCATATGAGTGAAAAATTCTTGAGAGGGACGTTAAACAACTAACAAATAATTCAATGTAGTTTACACATACCATGATAATTATCATGATTATGTCATTCGCTGTTTACAAGCTGGTATAACCGACTTCACACCGAATTTCATACAAACTATTAAATCATTGCCAAATAGTTATGACATCATCAATTATAGCTATATTTAGAGTATTCACTGCCATGACTGTGAAATTTACACAGCGGGCCCATGAAAACTATCCATTAACAAACTTACAAGTTTTTGGGTTTTTTTTCATTTGGGTCTGCCATGTACTACCCAACATATGGTTGCATTGTGCTCAAATAAATTTCATAACCACACTCCACAAAGAAAACGAAGTTTGATATTCTATGTAATATACACTATTTTTTTCTTAATCTTATCACTGCAGCTGAACTGTACCATCTGAATTTTACAACTTAAAATCAATTATTTCAAATTCTTTGTGAAATAAAATGTAATAAAGTATTAATAAGCATGACAAGCTATTGTAGTAAAAGTTTGATAATATCATCAAAGTGTTTACAATTTGAGTATGTACTATAAAATAGATAACATCAGCTGATCAGTGTATACATGTATGTGATGTGCGTGCTGGCATTTATCAATCTGTGTGTATAATTTAATCCAAATAATTTAATTATATATTTTAAAAAATCTTACCTTAATTCTTTTGAATCGTTCATACTTCACAGGAATGACATAGACACTATAACACATCACTGATAACTTTTTTCTTACTCGTTACACAAAAATTCTGTCGTCAGAATTTCCTCGCAATCGCACACAAGATCTTCAGTTCAGAATAAATCCTTCTTTATACTAATGCTCCATACACGTAATCAGAAATGTTAATCTGCACATAAGCCTAGCTGCGGATTGAATAATGCATGTCTACATACGCAATCAATGTCAAACATACAGTGCGAATTTTTGATTCGTTGACAAATGCCGCCATGCTGATCCCCTACCCACAATGCCGTTGAATGTTTACATCCAGTGCGATCGAACCAAAACATTTGCGATATTGTAATTTTGGTTAGGAATTAGATAGGTGTTTAAAGTGACAAATATATAGGCATATTTCAGTACCAACATAACAGAAAGCCGTCATATAGTAATTGCTAGCGCTCTCGAGCGCTAGCAACTACGTTAGTAGTCGGAACATACTAAAGACCTGACCTACTAAAGACCTGACTGACCTGACCAACATAAAATTCTCCAAAAATCACTATTTTGAGTTTTTATATCAATTTTTTCATGTTAATTTCTTAATCACAAGGTGCAATTCAATTGAATAAAGGTTTCTTCAATCATTTTTACCAAATTTATTGTCATTTATCCATTCATTTCATGAAAATTTAATGACCTGACCAAAATTGAAATGACCTGACCAAATGATAATCGTTCATAATTGTTATCTTTTTAAAAATATTTGATACGTTTTTATCATATATTCTCTATTATAGTGATTGATAGTTTAGATAAAATGTTTTTAGAAACATTTTTACCAAATATTTAGTCTTTATCCATTCATTTCACGATAATTTAATGACCTGACCAAATTTGAAATGACCTGACCAAATGATTATCATTCATAATTGAAATGAATGGATAAAGGACAATAAATTTGGTAAAAATGATTGAATAAACCTATTTTTGGAGAATTTTATGTTGGTCAGGTCAGTCAGGTCTTTAGTATGTTCCTTAGTAGTCTAGGTCACCTACACGTTTGTCGCATCGATATAGCTCACACCATCTTGAGTGGGGGGTCAAACGGCTTGCGTGACCTAGGCTACTACGTTAGTCTATATTTCTGAAATTCGCATGCTCGACTTCACGGTCGGGGATTCTGGGAAAACTACTGTAGATAGACTGTACGATAACAATTTCGTTTTGTCATACAAAAATAGAAATGATCCGAATTTCAGACCTTTCCTGTCTGATATGCGCGATATACATTTCGTAGGTTAGAGACAATCAATACCAGTCTAGATCTGGATTCTGAATTTTTTTTTAATTTATTGTCTAACCTACACATAAAAGTACAAGAAAAAAATTGGCCATATAATGCCAAGATTCTAGACATCTAGCTTTCCTTACAGTTTTACCAGCTTAGTGGATAATTCCGGCAAGCTCGAAAAAAAAAAAAAAAAAAAAAAAAAAAAAAAAAAAATCTTTTTCAGAGTATGTCGGAAAGATATGTCAATTTAGTGTTTCGTGTTTTGTTGTCTAACCTGCACGTAAATGAACAAAAAGTCACAGTAACTCGGGTCTTATAAAACCAAGACTGTTATTTCTAAAGTTGTAATGAATACATAGCTTTTCTAATCTACCTTCATGGATCTTTCCGGCAAGCTCGGAAAACCGCGGCAACCTCGGATATGTTTTCCGAGCTTGCCGGAAAGGCCCGAAGGTGCTCATTGGTTCTACTGACCATATATTTTTCACCTCGAAATTGAAATTACAGTAAAATACAGAATGCTTAAAGCACAGTTAGGAGTTATGCCATTGCCGACGTGAAGCACACTCTTAGATTCACCATTCTGAATTGTGACACCCCCCCCCCAAACTCAACTCCCAGTGCACCAATCTGCCTTCCTATTAATAATTAATCGATTCAGCAAATTTAACAAATGGTTCAGATATCTTCTTCTGTATTTTATTATGCTACAGCGCTAGCTCACCAATCTTTTTAAAAGATAAGCTTGTAATTGTATACATTTAGGTCCTGACAAGGCATGTACGCGTTGATCTATTTTTAGTTTGTAAACAACTTGTTCTTATATTTACATGAAATTCATTTCGTAAAAATAGCTTTAAATAAAGCATGATTTTTTTTTCTTTTTATGGCAAATAAAAATATCTAGTATTCTAGATAGTATGAAATAAAAATTTTGTAGTAAATATCAACATTTTTAGCTATTTGAAAAAAGATATTTATGACGTACTGACCCCTAAATATAGGGCCAGCCCCCTTTTCTTGATTTTATCTGAAAGCCCTTGTTATTTCACACAACTTTTCTTCTATATGTCTTCGCAAAATATTTTTAGTTTCAAAGTTATTAAACAAAAAGCAACAAATTTTCATGAAAAAAATTCTTAAAATTTGCTATCAAATAACATACAAATTTGAAATGTTTAGCCAATAATTTTAACATTTGACACAACTATAATACGTTAGCTACATTTTCTTAAAATTTTCACGTAACTATCTTACGTAGTTCCCAAGATCTCAGCCGGACAATAGACCCTCCAAATATCAATTAAAGGGCAATAACTCTTAAATAAAGGCGTAAATCAAAAAATTGAAAAAAAACGTTTTAGGCCTTAAAACATAATGTTTCTTTCCTGAAAGTTTCATAAAAATTAGGCGAAAAATCTCCGAGAAATCAGCTGTTAAAAATTTGCGGGAAAAAAAGAAGAAACAGTAGAATAACAGAAGGGTCTTCCGAAGCGGAAGCTCGGAAGACCCTAATGATGAGAAAGTAAAGTAGCAATTAATAATAATTAATAAACCGAAAGATTTGCGGTCCTCACCACTCGCACTTCTTTCTCTGTATCAGGACTAAAGAATATCGAACACTCCTTAAGATCAGATTAAACCAGAATTAATCGCAATCTCATAAAATTCTACCGAAGTTTTTTTCTTCTTGCACTTCTCAGCGACAAAATGCGATTTTGTCAAAGTCTTACCAAAGCCTTTCCGCTGTTGCAGCTGGGCAGTGTTTCTCACTTTGAATGGGGAAAAGTCAATGCATGAATCAATGTGCTGCCTAAACATTATCTGCCGATGATTAAAAGCTCATATGAAAACTGAAATCCCATATTTTATTGATGTTATAATAGAAATCACAAATTATTTAAGTAACCCCTCTTGTCTAGCTACATGTATAAATATCATGTTAGCAGAAGACAGAATGTATTAAATTTGACCCAAATATGAGCCACCAAAACAACATGAAAACAATATTCCACATTGTTAAAGTTGTGCATAATATATATTTAAGAAAATTGAAATGACTCTAGAATATTTTCTATTCCACGCCCTCCCATTTCTTTGCATCCTTTGTAACTCGCATACCCCTATTTCTTTGCACTAAGAAACTTTTACATCATATTTTCTTTTTATGCTTGGAGATCGAGGGGACAATGAAGTTTAGAATAACTTGTATCCAGTTGAAATGTATTAAACTCACATTAAATAATATGATCACTGCAACCTAACAAATTACTTTCTTAGAGTAGGTGTTATATTGATGACTAACGGTGTACCAAAACACGCATCATCAACAATGTCACGTGACAGCTAAGTAGATATAAAAAGCTTCTAATTTCAGAATGCCGTGTGCTTGCCGGTACCATCAAGTGCTCTCTAAGATTTATAAATATCTTCTTTTTAAGTGTTTCGATTAAAAAACTACCAATTTTTTTTTAGGAAAACTACAAACGAATAAAGGTAGGATTATTGATCTAAAATAAGTTACACCGTATAATGGTGCCTTTATATAGCTCTCATGCTGATTTGATTGCTTGCTTTTTATCTATTTTTTAAATTTAATTTTATTAATTATTTTTTTTTTTTTTGGGGGGGGGGGCAATATTACAGTGTATATATATATATATATATATATATATATATATATATATATATATATATATATATATATATATATATATATATATATATATATATATATTGGTGAAGATGTTTTCTTGAAATCTTGACATAAATGTTTTATTTTTGCATGAATTGCTGAAAAGTACTATATGGTCGGATAGAAAAACTAGTTAACTTGTATTCAAATTTAAAACAATTACGTTAGCAAAGTTTACATGATATAAGACATATTTGTTTAAATTTTTTTGTCTAAGATAAAAATGGTATCAAAAGGCACACTTTTCGGCAGTTTGTTCACAAAAACCTTACAAGCTCAAAAGCGAGTGGTTTCTACATCCGCCACAAACCGGCAGGCGAACGACATAACAGAAGTAACACCAATCACAGTAAGGAAGAAAATCACGTGACTGAACAGCACTTTCAAATATTTTGGTTCCATAATTTTAATAAAGTCTCTAAAAGAAATTGTTTAAGAGCGCATTCTTGATGATTTACTATAAAAAAAAAATTCACAACAGTACTCATTGATATAAACACAATAATTATTTGGTCTGTCTCCACATATCATGACATACGTGTTGTATATTTTCATTGCAAAGGGTCCATTCCAAAAAGTGTTAGACAACATAAACCGAATAAGAAACCCAAAATCAACTCACCAGGCACCAAATATACCAACTTCAGCGGAGACAGCCAAACCGTTCGAGAAAATCCCCGGACCAAAAAGAATTCCAATCATAGGCACGTTGTTAGATTACACAAAGAAAGACGGATATCGCTTCGACAAACTGTTTGAGGTGAATTTTGCGTAAAAAATCTTATTATCTATTACTCGATATTTTCTTTTCTTTATTTGTTTAGTAGTTGAGCTTGGTTTATGTAACATTAACCATCTTCGAAGCTCTCAGTACATGTATATACATGTACATTAACCCTATAAAAATACAAATACTATACATATAACATGTATAATACTAGCGATGTTTGGGTTACAACTTACAAGTATATATAAATATAAATTTACCAACAGGCATTTACAGAAAGATCTCTTCAATATGGACCTGTATTTAAAGAACAAATAGCTAATATGACAACAGTTGTTATCACAGACCCTTCTGAGTACAACAAGGTCATACGAGCAGAGGGAAAGTATCCAAAACGACGTGTTCTTGATCCATGGTTCGTGTATCGTGAGAAGAACAAGATGGGACAAGGCCTTGTAAACGCGTAAGATTGATAAGGACTCTTTTATGTTGTATGACTATATATAAAGACTTTAAGAAAGTAGCATAAATCCAAATTGATTCCATCAAAAACAACTGGGGGAAAGAAACACCTATTTAAATTTGTATATAGACAAATATAGTAATCCAACTTCATTTCAAAATTAAAATCTAGACACAGGAGCATTGTTACCTGTCATACCTTTTTTTCTGAATGGTAACAGCCAAGGTTCTGAGTGGCACAAGTACCGGAGTGCCACCTCCAAGAAAATGCTGAAGATGAAGGAGGTGTTGGACTATTGTGCAAGCATGGACAAAGTAGCAGACGACTTCATTATACACCTCTCCAATCTTAGAAATCAACACAATGAAGTTGTTGGCATTGATAAAGAATGTTTTAAATGGGCCATGGAATGTACGTATTCTTATTTCCCCATTTTTTACTTTTTTCGCATGAAAAAAATTATCTTGATTTTCTGGCTAAGCTGCTACAAGGACTAAAACTACTTTTCTGTTTCATCTTCAGCTATTGGTACCTTTCTCTTCGAATCCAGATTAGGCTGTTTTGGACCAAATCCTCCGACCCAGGCTCTAGAATTCATAGAGCACCTGCAAGGCCTATTTCATTATATGCAAATACTCTTGTATAGTTTTCCAATTTACAAGATAATTCCCACAAAACCATGGAAAAAATATGAAAATCACTGCGACAACGTATTTCGAATTGGCAGATCGTATATAGACAGGGTAATATTTAAATAAAAGAAAACGAAACAGAGATAAAATCAGTAAATAAATAGTTCAGACTTATATGACATTAATGTAATTTGTTTGTGTTCAGTTAAAATTAAGAAAAAAAAATCATTTTAGAAAGCGGCTGAAATCCAAAAGAACCCCACCAAGGATGGTGAAAAGTCTTCTTTTATAGAGTATATCATAAATCAGGAATCGCTGTCAGAGGGAGAAGCCTTATCCACTTGTGCTGATATCCTTGTGGGTGCCACGGAAACGGTAGGGACTCCGGAATAGTGGCAGATTTTTTGACAAATATGCTTCAAAAGAAACACTTTTGCTAATGAAGTAAAGCATTTCTGAACACAGGCATAGTCTCCTCTTCAAAATCACATAAATCCTGAATGAGGAAGATAGTGACTTAGCTGAAGGATTTATCAACAGACTTTCTGTCTCAAATACCTCTTATGAAAATTTAACTCTCAACAATATTGAATCCGATCAAAGTTCATTGAGAACAGATGCTATTCTGTTAACTGTTCTAAAAATATATTTAAATGTGTGTATTCCTTTTCTTCTGCAGACCTCCAGTGGTACTCTTTGGGTCTTGTACTGTCTAGCCAAAAACCCAAAAGTCCAAGAGAAATTATACGAAGAAGCAAAAAGAGTTTTATACAACAACGAAGCAATTACTCCTGAGAAACTTTCTCAACTGCATTACGTCAAGGCAGTCATTAAGGAAACGTTTAGGTAGTATTAGACATTAGATTAGGTGGAGCCAAAAAAAATTGCATATTTGATTTACTTGATATTACACTAGTACACAAAATATTTGAAGTGGACAATCAAAGATGGATTGTTCTAAAACCCATCGAATATCCAAGCCTACACCTAAATTGTTTTTACTTTATTTCCATGTCTTTTGATGGACTAGTGTTCTAGTCATTCAAAAAAATTCATGCGAACGGTATTTTAAAATTACGTTTTGAAATTCAGGTCTGATACCCAATCATCTGAATACAGCTCTACTTGCAAATAATCTTATCACTTACAGATTTAATCCTTTCTCATCATATCTCTAAAGGTTACATCCTCTCCCCTTAACTCTCTACAGGTTTATCCTCTCACCTTATCTGTCTAAATTTTATATCCTCTCACCTTATCCCTGCACAAATTACATCCTCTAATCTTATCTCCTTACAGGTAATATCCTTACATCCTCTCCCCTTAACTCTCTACTGGTTTTATCCTTTCATCTTCACTGTCTAAATTTTATATCCTCTAACGTTAATCTCTGTAAGGTTATCTACTCTCACCTTAACTCCCTACAGGTTATATCCTATCCCCTTATTTCTCTACAGGTTTTCCTCTCCCCTTATCTCCGTACAAGGTTTTCTTCTCTTGTCGTTTTTCTATAGGTTTAATCCTTTCGTATTAACTCTCTAGAGGTCATATCCACTCACTTCATCTCTTTCAGGTTATATCCTCTCAGCTTATCTCACAACAGGTTATGAACTTTCACTTTTTTCTCTATAGGTTATATCTTTTCACCTTTTCTCTCTACAGGTTATATCTTTTCACCTTTTTTTCTCTACAGGTTATATCATCTCACCTTATCTCTGTATAGGTTATACCCTCTCACCTTATCTCTCTACATGTTATACCCTCTCACCTTTTCTTTCTACAGATTATATCCTCTCACCTTCATCACAAGCAGGTACTTGGAAAAGGACCTAGAGGTTGGAGGTTACTCCCTCCCAGCTGGGGAAGGGAATATTAGCATCATTCTAAAATCTTCCCAAAACGTGTTGGTTTTGTGTTACATAAAGCGATTATTTATTATTTTATCTTACAGACCTTATATTGATTTACCTACAAGACCCTTTAACCCATTGGGCCCCAATATTAGACCACCATATCGATTTGCCTTTTATACTTCCATATTTATTTACCCGATTTTATCTCAATATCAATTTTGTTTAATATCTTTTAAAACCGAATTTTTATATAATTTTCCACCAGACCCATGTACACGCCAACCTGTATGGCATGTTTCGAGACAGCAAATTCTATCCAGACCCAGAAACCTTCAAACCCGAACGTTGGTTGAAGGAAAGTCACATGGATAAGGAACTGAAAGCACTCTCGAACCTCGTCTGGGGACACGGTGCCCGAATGTGCATAGGTTTGTAGAAAAATATTCTTTTTCCATGTAAAAAGGAATGAAAAAAATGAGAGCTGATTTTATTTTCACTCATTTTATTACAGGGCGAAGATTTGCAGAACAAGAGATGTACATTGTTTTGACAAAGGTGAATATGGGTTTTAATCTTTCATCTAGGATAAGGATGGCTATTAATTGGGGGAAAATTAACAAATGAAGTGCCATCATCTTTATAAGAATTTATTCTGTTTGGACTCAACATATACTGATATTTTTTAAAATGTTACATTTGTAATTTTGCCAAAACTCATAATTTAAATTTAATGTATATAAGGAAGTCGATTTCTAGCTTCTTATTTGTTTGCAGATTGTACAGAACTTTAAGATTGAATACAACCATGGAACAGTAGAGCCCGTGTTGAATATAGTGATGAACTCTGATCGTCCTTTTCTATTTTCGTTTATTCCAAGGAACTGAGAAAGTCTACCAATCTACGTCACCAGTGACAATATTGACAAGAGCAATAATACTAATCATGCTTTCAAACAAAGTGCATCATCACCAGTGTTATTTTATATTTAATATTAACCTCACTCTGAAAATTAATTTTGAGTTGTGGACCACTATATACACCTCACACTGATCATTCTGGCAGTAGCCCTTAATACAGAGTTGATAATATGGATTGTTATATATCAACGCATGTATTAACATTTCGGTAAAAGTCCCCAAGATAAACTTCATACAGATCATTTTTTGTTAATGGTCCTCAATACAAACTTCATATTGATTATTTGGGTTGTGGACCTCCATATCAACATAACTTCGAACATTTCATTTTGAGTTGTGAACCTCAATATAAATCCTAAACTGAACATTTGAGTTGTGGACCTCAATATAAATTCTAAACTGAACATTTGAGTAGTGGATCCCATACAAAACAAACACTTCACATTTGTTATGAATTTCCTTAATGTGAGGATTGTATTGAAGTCCACTACCCAAGCGTGTAAATGTGAGGTTTGTATTGAAGTCCACTACCCAAACGTGTAATGTGAGGTTTGTATTGAAGTCCACTACCCAAACGTGTACTGTGAGGTTTGTATTGAAGTCCACTACCCAAACATGTAATGCGAGGTTTGTATTGAAGTCCACTACCCGAACGTGTAAATGTGAGGTTTGTATTGAAGTCCACTACCCAAACGCGTAAATGTGAGGTTTGTATTTAAGTCCACTACCCAAACGTGTAATGTGAGGTTTGTATTGAAGTCCACTACCTAAATGTGTAATGTGAGGTTTGTATTGAAGTCCACTTCCCAAACGTGTAATGTGAAGTTTGTATTGAAGTCCACTACCCAAACATGTAATGCGAGGTTTGTATTGAAGTCCACTACCCAAACGTGTAAACGTGAGGTTTGTATTGAAGTCCACTACCCAAACGTGTAATGTGAGGTTTGTATTGAAGTCCACTACCCAAACGTGTAATGTGAGGTTTGTATTGAAGTCCACAAATCAGTGTGCAAAAGTATCAACTGTTCACGACAGGCTTTGTTGACGATATCGCAATGGATTGATTAGTCTGAAAGTATAAATAAACTAAAAGGTGCAACCAAATATATGTTTTATGTGTTTTAAGTTACATGTACTATAAATAAAACAAAACCGGAATATTTCAATAGCTAGGAGCTAGTTGTTTTTTTCCCCCGAAAAGGCATAGGAAGAACTTTGCAGGGTTTATGACGAGGTAAAGATTAAAATACATATAATTTTCTATTATTGTATAATATTTATTGTTACTTGCCGAAAGAATGCATAATTATGAAATTTAAAATGAACCGGGTGTTTAATCCTTCACAATCCCCCCATTTTTGAAATGGAGAAAAGTGTACTGACATTTTTAAAAATATCAACTGAAGTTGTTTTAAATAGTAATTTCTAACCTGTATTTTAGTATTTTGCTTTAATTTAATAGCTTACAACTTCGATTCATTAAAGATTTCCAAACATCGATTGACCAATTCATAAGACAAGGAACAGGCCAGTTATATGCAGGGGAAGGTATCAGGAGGGGGGGTCTCCAGTTTTTGCCCAATTTCTCCATTTTTAGGTCACCTGAGTCACTCAGGTGACCTATTGCTATCTGTTTTCGTCCGGCGTCGTCCGTCATCCGTCGGTCGTAAACTTTTGAACATTTTCAGCTTCCTCTCTTGAACCACAGAACCAATTTCAACCAATTTTGGCATATAACATCAATGGGTGAAGGGGTACAAAAATTGTGAATTTCATGGTCCCTGTCCCCCTCGGGCCTTAGGGGTGGGGCTAAAACCATCAAAATTAGTGCTATCTTTGAAAATCTTCTTTAATCTTGGACACCAAGCAGTCAAACTGTTGGCATGATTGTAATAAGCATTGAGCCCTCTACCAAAATTGTGAAATTCATGGCCCCAGGGTCAGGGGTTCTGGTGCTAGGGCGGGGCTATATAGATCATATGGTGAAAGTGCATTATTTCTTTGAAAATCTTCTTCTCTACTCCTGGGTATTATTGAAACAAATTGAATACATAGTTATGATAAGCAAGGGTGACTCTACCAAAATTGTGAAACTCATAGCCCCAGGGTCAGGGGTTCTGGTGCTAGGGCGGGGCTATATAGATATTATAGTGAAAGTGCATTATTTCTTTGAAAATCTTCTTCTCTACTCCTGGGTATTATTTAAACAAATTAAATACATAGTTATGATAAGCAAGGATGCCTCTTCCAAAATTATAAATTTCATGGCCCCTGGGTCAGGGGTTCGGGTGTTAGGGCGGTACTCTACTAGTATTTATTATATAGTGAAAATGCATTTATGCTTTAAAAATCTTCTTCTCTGCTCCTGGGTATTATTTAAAGAAACTAAGTATATCATTATGATAAGCAAGGATGCCTCTTCCAAAATTGTGAAATTCATGGCTCAAGGATCAGGGGTTCTGGTGTTAGGGCGGGGCTATATAGATCGTATAGTGAAGGTGAATTATTTCTTTGAAAATCTTCTTCTCTGTCCCTGGGTATTATTTAAGCAAATTAAGTACATTGTTATGATACACAAGGATGTCCTTTCCAAAACTGTGAATTACATGGCCCCAGGGTCAAGGGTTCTGGTGAAAAAGGGGGGGGGGCTCTATTGATTATATAGTGTAAAAAGCAAAATTTCTTTGAAAATATTCTTTTCTGCTCCTGGTTAAAAAGCAAAGAAGCTAAGTGTATAGTTATGATGAGCAAGAGTGCTTCTTCCAGAGTAGTGAATTGCATGACCCCTGGGTCAGATGTGCTGGTGTAAGGATGGGGCTCTTGATAATATAGTGAAAATGCATTAATTCTATTAAATAATCCTGTCTGCTCTTAATGTTAAGCAGATAAACAAAGTGATTACTTATGATGAGCAAACTTCTGATCCCAGGGTGAGAGCTGACTCTGGTGTTTCCCGCTGGGAGGGGGGGGGGGGGGCTCTGTTGATAATATAGTGAATCTGTAATAAAAATGCATTATTTCTTTAAAAATCTTCTTCGCACTTGGGCATATCACAGGCAAAAAGAGTAAAAGTTTTAATAAGGAAGAGTATTTTTACCAGATTTTTGAACATCTGGACCATTTGGTCAAGTGTTCTGGTCCTGGCCAAGGCTCTATTAATTTGTATTCCACTGAGAGGAGTTATTCCCCTTTGCCATTTACTTTTGATAATTACTCACTGTAAATAATGTACTTGAAAGGTTAATAGAATAAGAGAATTATGCAAGAATTTTTATTGTATAATACAAAAAGTACTTTCATAGTTTTAGTGATCAGGTAGACTTGTAAGTAATAGATAAATAAAAATGAGACAAAAATAACTTGTCTTTTTTAATGTTCATCAAAGACCAAGAGAGGCCAATGTGAGAGATTTTAACAAGAAATAAAAATAGTACAGAAGCACTGATAGTTTGTTAATATACTGTATGGTGTTAGTGATGAATGGGGAACAGATTAGAACCTAATTTATGAACTGTTAATGAATACTAGACTAATTATTTTGTTGATCCTGATTACCCTATTTTTCTTGCTTTTGGGCAACAAAGCTTCACCTCTCAGTTCATTTTATACTCTATGGATCCTCTAAATTGTTGTATTATACTCAGGTGACCGTTAAGGCCCTTGGGCCTCTTGTTTCTAATAGTTTGTTTGCTTAAGTTTCGATATGCAAAAAGTCATTCATTTAGACGCTGCTTGCCTCCCCTCTTTCATACACACTTTTTATTGCAGTTAGGTCGAACTCGGGAAAATTCCAGCATTTGAAAAGAGAAAAAATGGAAACTTGAAGAATCCCCACCCCGCCTCCCAAAAATAGAATTTCCAAAAACATTGCTAGTTATGGGCCTGATGAAGAATTTTTAGCAAACTTGCTACAGAGCGAAGGATACCATGCTTATTGTTTACTCACGCCAGGTATAGGTATATGTAATGGATATAGGCCGAATACTGTTCTATATGTAAAATTATCAGACTGTTTGAGGCCCGTTAGGGCCGAAAACAGTCTGATAATTTTACATATAGAATTGTATGAGGCATATATCTTACTTAAAACAATGCTATTTAAATGTCCAAAAGTTACCTTGAGGAGTCCGATAATTACACAATAGGAGTTCAGGCATCACTAGTTTTCTACCTGAAACCATCTAATAAGTAGACAAAAGAAAAGAGAATTTTTTTTTCTTTAGACAGTAAAATCAGTGAGTGAACTCTTTTATTTCATTCATTCAATGGCAGTCGTTTGGCTTAGCAGGAACTATGGACGGTGGTCAGGTGATGAAGGATTTTTTAATGATTCGGAATATTTTTTTTTATTAAGTGCGTTTGACATTGATACAGATACAGTGTTGGATGATATCTTCAAAATGCATTTAAAGTAAAAATGCGGATTTTTATCTAAAATTTTGATTGGATGATATAATGAAAATCTTGGGTTTTAAAAGTGCGGTATTTGGCGAATAAACCTCGTTAAATGGAGAGATTCGCAGACTGGTTCTTTATCAGAAATGAATTTAAATTGGCTTATTCACAGTGCTGTATCGAAAATGCTTTGCAAAAAACCACATGGAAAGTGTTACTCCAGTTTCTTCTTGGATTTGCTATTTTTAACAACTTGATTTTCTCGCGTTCGCTTTCCCTGAATTTTTTTCTCCCTAACTTTTTTTTTTGGTTTCTGGACAAATTAAACCTTGATTTCACTCTAGTTGTTGTTTTTTAACTACTGTCCGATTTTGTTATCACTGCCGTCCGATAATATATTATTGGACTGCTAATTATTATTATCGAACGGCTACAAGTAAATTTTTAGACTGCAAGAACAAAGACATGACGTCACAGCAATGTTTTAAATACACGTACATCCCAATTGGCGTCTGTGTAAACAATAGCTTTCACACTTTGCCGCTCCATTCACCACAGATTGTAGGTTTTCTTGCCGCTCCAATGACCACAGATAATGCCATTACAAATTTTGTATTTCTCATTTAAAATTCATTCTTCATTTTTTTTTTTTTTTTTTTTTTTTTTTTTTTTTTTTTGCAAAATAATTGGGGCGGCAAACGCCGCCCCTGCCGCCGCCCCTGTGTCGCTCTCAGTTTACTGCAAAATTTTCCTTTGACAAAAACCATCATCTCTTAAGCGTTTATAAGGCTCTCTTACAGGCGGTGCCAGGGAAATCGTCAGTGCACAAACTATATAAAACCGGAAGTAAAAGTATTTTTTTTCACAATATACGTCACAAGTCACTTAATTAATATATAAGGAGACGTTTGCTTTTTCAAAAAAAAAAATAAAATAAAATAAAGGAACTCAGAAATGTTCATATCTTGTAATAGGTTATTAAAATTCACTCTGATACTACATACATGTACTCTGTTGATACATGTATTAAAAGGATGATGGATTTTCTCATTGACAATATCTATGTAGTCTTTGGAGACCACGTCTTCAAAATAAAAAAAAAAAATGTTGGAATTTCGATGGGCACTATATGTGCTCCTTTATTAGCCGACCTGTTTTTTTTATTCCTATGATTGATGGATTGTTTCTTGCTTTACGTCCAATTGGAGTGTTTTTCACTTATATAGAGACTTCATTATAAACCCGTAAAGGGCTTCAGATTTATACCTATACTCTACACTCAGGATCATTGAGCAGTGAGGGTTCTTCAGCCTACCGTAACACGGTACCTCTGTTTTTAAGGTATCATCTGAGTGACCCATGACTTTCCTTTCTAATGCCGGGTGCTCGACAGAGGAATAGTCGATCACTACCTGTGTTTACGTCTTAGGTCTAAAGCCGCGCGACGAACAAGAATCGAACCAGGGTCTCCCTATCATGAAACGAACTACCTTCCACTGGGCAATAAAAACTGTATGACAAACGAGATGACTTCAGCTTTTCTATCGTCAACTTTCCTTATTTATGTAGTACATGTAATATTCTGCTATCACCTGCATATTGTGTTTATGTCTCCCAGCTTATTCGATACTCAAGAGCATTATCTGAATTCAATCAATTTCTAAACTAAGACAGGCTTCTGATAGATAAGTAGACGTTACAGGGATTTCAGCAACCTCGTTTAAAGTCAGCATTTCGTAAATTCTATGGTAGTTATAATGATCTTTTTTTTAG